CTGCGCTCCGGGTCTGTTCAGGATCCCGCGGCCTGGGTCGTCTCACTCACTCGCCGGGCCTGCGCTCTGGGTTGTCTGGTGCAGTTTTGAGAACAGTTTAGTGTGAAGGTAGTAGGAAGATCCATCCTCCTTCAAATTGTAAGTAAATGGCCCCATGATTTTTTGGATTCTTCTGTAGGGACATAGGTGCACAGATCTTTTGTGCAGGATGAAGAGTGTATATCAGGAAGAAATCGTGTACCATGAAATTTGTTGCCTTTGTGTTACAGACATGGTGAGGAGCCACATTTCTCACTTTTTTGGCTTTTATATATACGGAACCATTCTGAAGGGAGACTATCTCAGCAGTGGACACTTGTGATTTCTGCAGTGAGGTGTTCCTGCTGTGCACGTGGGCTTTACCATTAGCAAAGGAGTAGAGCATTTGCCCCTCCAGATACCTCTATTGATTTCCATGTCTTCTTCTGGTATCTACAGGTTCCACATGAGAGGTCAATCTAGTGATGAGTGGTCATGAACAGGGCTTGTGCTCATCGTTCATGTAGAAAAACAAAATAGAAGAAGATAGAGAAAGGGAGAGGGAGAGAGAGGGAGAGAGAAGGAGAGAGAGAGAAAAAGAGAGAAACAGAGAGAGAGACAGAGACAGAGAGAGACAGAGAGAGAGAGAAAGAGAGAGAGAGAGAGAGAGAGAGAGAGAGAGAGAGAGAGAGGAAGCCCAGAGGGGAGCGACAGACAGACTTGCACTGCTGGTGTTGGCAGTTGCAGAAACAGACATTCCTTGGAAGCCAAATATGCCCTTGGCTCAACAGTCATTGAGAACAGGAAGTGATCCTGAAAAATGTCACCCAACTTAAGGTCTTTTCCTGATATCTCCCAGTGTCCACACTGTAGGAGAGTGACCGCTGTGTCTTGAAAGAAAAATAACATGCATCAGCTCACCAGCCATAACCAAAACAGGTCATGGAAGAATCAGGATGAAAACTGTCAGTTAGGGGAACAGGTTGAAGATAGATGCAATGTTTACTTTTGTTATGGTTTCTTAGGTCCCATTTAGTTTGTTTTGCTTTGCTTTTCTGACACAAGGAATACAGATGGAGATTTTTTTTCTGTTTTTTCCATAATTTTAATGGGAAAAAATAGCAATTGGACAGTTTCACATCCC